ACAACATCTTTGTTGGTATGTGGTGCTGAGAATCGAACCCGGGCCGCACGCATGCCAGGCGAGCGCGCTACCACTTGAGCCACATCCCCAGCCCCTAGATAGTATTTCTTTAAAGCACATTATTAATATGAGAAATTTTAAATAAGATATATGTAAAGAAGAGATGACAGGGCTGGGGTTGGGGCTCAGTGGCAAAGCGCTTGCCTCACACATGTGAGGCACTGGGTTCAATCCTCAGCATCACATAAAAATAAACAAACAAAATAAAGATATTAGGAAAAAAAAGATGAGGTGACAAAATCAATTAATAATAATTATTAATTATTATTATTATTAATTATTATTCTGTAGATTGAACCCAGAAGCATTCTACCACTAAATTATATCTCCAGCTAATTTTTACTTTATTTATTCATCTTTTTTTTTTAAAAACAAGCTTCTGAGTATGGCATTTTATTTTATTTTTTAATATTTATTTTTTAGTTCTTGGCGGACACAACATCTTTGTTTGTATGTGGTGCTGAGGATCGAACCTGGGCCGCACGCATGCCAGGCGAGCACGCTACCGCTTCAGCCACATCCCCAGCCCTATTCATCTTTTAATATATATATTTTTAGTTGTTGATGGACCTTTACTTTGTTTTTTAGTTGTAGATGGACACAATATCTTTATTTTCATTTATTTTTTTTTTTATGTGGTACTGAGGATTGAACCCAGCACCTCGTGCATGCAAGGCAAGCGCTCTACCACTGAGCTACAACCCAGCCCTGGACCTTTATTTTATTTAATTAATTAATTTATTTATTTGCAGTGCTGAGCATCCGTCCAATGCCTCACACCTGCTAGGCAAGCACTCTACCACTGAGCCACAACCCCAGCCCTTTATTTACTTATTTAAATTTTTTTTTAGTTATAGATGGACACAATACATTTATTTTGTTTATTTTTATATGGTGCTGAGGATCAAACCCAGTGCCTCACACGTGCAAGGCAAGTGTTCTACTGCTGAACCCCAACGCCAGCCCCTTACTTTATTTTTTGATACAGGATCTCATTAAATTGCTGAGGCTGGTCTTGAACTTGCAATCCTCCTGCCTCAGCCTCCTAAATAGCTGGGATTGCAGGTATGCACCACTTCACCTGGCTTCAACCTAAATTCTAATGCTCATCTCATCTTCAATTATCAGTTAACAAGAGACAACTGAATATGGACAGAATATCACATGTATCATTACTATGAAAAAAAAACGTTTTTGCCATATGTAATTACTACTACTTGACCTAAGTGTTTCTTGCTGTTAACACTTACCCTATCCCGTCCAATTGGCAGTGGATGTGCTGTGTACATGTTTCTTTTGCCATCATAGCCAGGCTGCCGATCACCAAATATCTGCATCTTGAAGTGTCTCACCATTGTATCTACTACCTCCCTTAACAGTAATGGAGATAGTGGCAGTTAGCTTTGTGAAATGGTGAACAGTAAGGGAAGTATCACTGTACCTTCACCAGCTAAATTCAGTTAATACTACTTGGAAAATGTTAAGAGTCAGTCTCTACTGATTCAAATAACTTTTAAAAATTAGTTATCTAAAGAAAGGTAGCAACAAATGAACAAAGGTAACTGCAAGATGATAACACAAGGGGAGAATAAAAGGAAAAAGAGCACAACATTTCTGGCATCCTCTCGAACTCCTCTTTCCCAAATCCTCTCCTGAGAAAACAACTTTTAAGAATAACCAAACTCAGGCCAGGTGCCCTGGCACACACCAGAATTCTAGGGACTCGGGAGGCTGAGGCAAGAGGATCACATATCAAAGAGCCTGGGAAACTGGCAAGACCCCATCTCAAAAACTAAGGTGGTGCATGCCTGTAATCCCAGTGGCTCGGGAGGCTGGGAGGCAGAAGGATCGCGAGTTCAAAGCCAACCTCAGCAAACGCAAGGTGCTTTTGCTCAGTGAGACTCTGTCTCTAAATAAAATTGAAAATAGGGGGCTGGGATTGTGGCACAGTGGTAGAGCACTCCCCTAGCACGGGCGGGACCCAGGTTCAATCCTCAGCACCACATAAAAATAAACGCATTATGTTGTGTCCATCTATACCTAAAAAATAAATATTAAAAAAAAAAAAAAAAGAAAAGAAAATAGGGCTGGGAAGGTGGCTCAGTAGTCAAGCGTCCCTGAGTTCAATCACTGATTATCCCCCCATCCCCCCCCAAAAAAAATAGCTGGGGATATAGCACAAAGGTAGACTATTCCTGGGTTCAATCCCCAGTGCTTCAATAAAGAAAAAAAAAAATTTAGGCTGCGGTGCAGCTCAGTGGTAGAGTATGGCCTACAAGAATGCATGAAGGCTGGGGTTGTGGCTCAGTGGAATATTTGCCTTGCATGTGTGAGGCACTGGGTTCAATCCTCAGCACCAAATAAAAATAAGTAAATAAAGATGTTGGTGTTCATCACTAAAAATAATATTTAAAAAAAGAGAATGCATGAAAAGGAGCTTTCTAGATTTCTAGAGTTTCTCTATTCTTACCTCCTAGCATATTTATACATACACATATGAATACATCTCAGTGGCTCCCTCCAACCTTATTCCTATCTTTCTATCCTTCCTCTCTGCTTTATTTTTTTTTATCACATCTTATTTATCTACTTTTGCTCTTCCCAATCAGAAGAGAAATTGAATAGAAACTCTTCAAGGGTATGTTTTTTGTTTTTTTTTAACCGACTCAGGGTCTTTTACTTTTCTCTACACCTTTTATGCCATGAATTCCTAGGGCATAAGTTACAGCAGCTTAGACGGCTCTCACAAAGTTTGCATCTCTGGGCAGAGCAGGTGGCACTTCAGCTGAACCCAGGTCTTCTCTTTGGCTTCCTTCCTTTTGTGATCATTTTCCTTTGCACGTTTCATGAGGCTATTTTCAGCTTACAGAGAGAGTGCTTAATATGCTCAATATGCACATTTGTTCTCTTGGCAGGAAGTTTGCTCTTAACGCGTTTGTTTACAACAATGCCAAGAGCATGCTGGCCAACACCAGAGACTCTTCCAGTTTTACCATGGAAACACTTTGGGGCATTCCTTTTTGAACAGGATCCATTCCCTTGATGTTTATAGCAACACCTTTTCTATAGATTCACATGTATATGACCAATGGAATGATACCATGTTTTCTAAAAGGCCTAGAGAACATACAGCAAGTACCTCTCTTCTTTCCCTCTGTGTTCATCACTTTATCAAATTACTGGAACATTGCAGCTCTGGTCAAAAGGCAAGAATAAAAACTTTTGCCTTTGTGGTTGTTGTTCATCTGTTTTGCAGTGCTGGGGATTGGACCCAGGCCCTTGAACATGCTAGGCAAGTACTGTACCACTGAGCTTCATCCCAAGCCTGTGCCTATTTTATTCATATTGTATTACCACAGCACAGAAAAACATCTGGTACAGAGTAAGCACTCCTGACAATATTTGTTGAACGGACCAAAGTTAGCCATTGTCATCACTTCTATTACCATTGATCTCAGCTGTACCATAGTTGAATAATTATGGTCTTACATAACACTGAACTGTACCAGAAAGCCACATGATTAATCTATAATGAGAAAAAAAGTTAAGCAGCACAAAATATTTCACTTGACAGCAAAAGCATTCTTAGAAAAGCAAGACTCAACAAATCAAAGACTGCTTAAATATCACTACATGGAAATAAAGAAAAGTAAAGTGGATATAGATTAATTTTTGCTACAGGGTATATATTCATATCTGGTAAATTCCTGATACCAACAATAAAACTTATATCACCTAATCAGACCCCCTCTTGGATAATGCAAGAAACAGATATCTCTGTAAGCTTACTTTTTTTTCAGTGCTACAAGATAATTCTGTCTTTCACTTAATACTTCTCAGGTCCAGTAAAACACTTAAAAATAAAATTTGAATTTCCAGATACTTCTATTTTCCATAGACATGAATGTCTTCATCTATTTTTTTTTACAAATTTCAGCTAGGTCAAGCAGAGTGGCACACATTCATAATCCCAAAGACCTTTGTTGTTCTAAAGTAGGAGTAATATAAATTTGAGGCCAGTTTAAGAAACTTCGCAAGAACCGTCTCAAAATAAAAAGATAAAATAAGCCACGCACGGTGCTGCACGCTTGTAATTCCAATGATTTGGGAAGCTGAGGCAGGAGCATTACAAGTTAAAGGCCAGCCTAGGCAACTTGGTGAGATCCTGTCTCAATAAAAATTAAAAAGGGCTCAGTGGTAGCGTCTTTGGGTTCAATCCTCAGTACAGAAAAAAAAAAAAAATGTAAATAAAATTTCTGCTACCCTTGGTTAAAGAAAGAGTTATCTTTTTTCATTCAATGATTGACTAATGAAATATGCAGCACTTTGTTAGAACCAAGGAGGATAACTACCTAAGAAACTTACCATCTTAGATTACAAACAAAGCATATCTATTGAAAGAATTCAGATAGCAATGATACATAATAAACAAATCATATGCACTTATATATATGAAGAAACATATACTCTTTCTAATCCTTACCTGTTGACTCTACGAGGCCGTTTTTCTGGTTTAATATCCACATCATAGTGATACACATCTATTTTAGGGATCTGAACCTGAAAATGATTAGCTAACAGTCGAATTGGTTTTCCAACAGTTCCAAGGCCCGGACGACGAGGTGGCTGAAAGAGGCTAGTTGGAGGTCCTAAAGAGACAGAAAGATATTTGCTGTGCTATTTGGTTAAGAAGGAGAATATTCCTTTCATCATCATCATCATGATAGTTGTAATTACCAGTATCTTACTATTCACTGAACATCTCTGATATAGAGTTTAGGGTGTTCGTTCACCTAAGGGTCTCCAGATTTCTAAATATTTTGCCATACTGCTATTATTTTGAATATAGGAGTCATCAAAATTAGAGAGCTAGGTGTGGCGGCACATGCCTGTAATCCCAGAGTCTCCAGAGACTGAGATAGAAGGACTGCACCTTTAAGACCAGCCTCAGCAACTTAGTGAGGCTCTACGCAACTTAGCATGACCCTGTCTCAAAATAAAAAAAATTAAAAAGAGTTGGTGAAGTGACTCAGTGGTTAGGCACCCCTGTGTACAATCCCTGGTATGGGGGAAAAAAAAGTCAACTTTTAAACCATTTTTGTTGTCTACTGGTATTTACTTCTAAATATTGAAGTAACATGCTTATAATGTTTGTTCTTGGTTTACATAGAAGATGATTATTTAGTATGCTTATTATCACCCCATCTCCACAGAATTCCTCTCCCCTCTCTTTCTCCCCTCTCCTCTATCTCTCAACTGAACATCTACAACTTTTCAGCAGGAAAAAATTTTGTGTTACAATCTGGGAAATATTTGTCTAGATAAACCCTTACTTCCTTTGATGAGAATATCAAATGAACACAGGCCTTAAAACTGAGCATCTTTTCTGCTCTGACTAGGTGTGAAGCAAAGTGGGCTATGGTGACAATGGAAAGATCCAAATTTTTCTGCAATGGCATTTCACTAAGAACAAAGAATTCAGTGAGGAGAGAAAGCTTTAGCAGGATAAGCTGTTTTGATGCAATATCTCTTAGGATAATTAGAGCAAATATTTTAATGAAATATGTAATGGTTGATCACCATATATTAATAAACCACTAAAATTTTTTCAATGTTATACCCATTGTTCATTTTTCTCCTAAATTCTACTTGTTCTTCAAAACTCAGTTCAGGTTCTGGGTATGGTGGTTCATATCTGTAATCCCATCTATTTGGGAGGCTGAGGCAGGAGGATAGCAAATTTAAGGCCAGCCTCAGCAATTTATCGAGGCCCTAATCAACCCAACAAGACCCTGTCTCAAAATAAAAAGGGCTGAGGATGTGACTCAATGCCAGAGTACCCCTGAGTTCACACCCCAGTATCAACAAAACAAAACAAACACTCCCAGTTCAGGGGCAACCTCCTCGGAAAGTGTTTCTTGATCACTCCAGACTAGAGGCTCCATCCTCTATATTCCCACGCCTCTCTGTACAGGGTAGCACTTAGCACAAGCATAAGAAACCACTTCTTAAATTACCCTGTCTCCTCCTCTAGTCTGTAAATTCTTAGAAGAAACAGATCTGCAGTTCACAATCTCTTCAACATCTAATTCAACATTTAGCATGTTGTAAGAACTCAATAAATGTTAAACTGAACAATGACAATAAACCCAGATAGAAACTAAACAGAAAACTCATCCCTAACATTCATGAATTATTTTTCAATAAAGCAAAAGCACATAATTTATATCAAAAGCATTTTTAAATTTTATTAGTGGTTGTTGGATATTTATTTTTATGTGGTGCCAAGAATCAAACCCAGTATCTCACACATGCTAGGCAAGCACTCTACCACTGAGCCATAACCCCAGCCCTCAAAAGCATTATTGCTTAAAGTTGTTCCACTTTTGGTGTAGAAGGGGATCTATTTGGGTGTGATAAGATAACTGTAAACAAGGCAAGAAGTAAACAATAAATAATGTCAGAAGCAACAGGCATACTGAATCAACCCAATTAAATCAGATAAGCCATTGCTGCATTTTCCAAGACACATTTAAGCAATCATTATAACAAATTAGAAGAAATCCAGCTTTACAGTAAAAATTTGGAAAAAGAAACTTACATCAAGTACCTTGCCTATGACTTTGATTTTAAATAATGACTAGAATCTAAGTCTCCTAACTCCCAATCAGTACATTTTCCCTCCAGTGTTCTTCACAATCCTCTGGATACTTCACTGAAGTGCCTGATGTCTAAGGAACAGAGGCAGAGGGATTTAAAGAAAAGGAATTAAGAAGCAGAAGGCTCAGGGCTGGCTTTATATCTCAATGGTAGAGCGCTTGCCCAGTGTGAGGCACTGGGTTTGATCTTCAGCATCACTTAAAAATAAATAAATAAATAAATAAAATGAAGGTATTGTGTCTAAAACTTGAAAAAAAAAAAGTAGAGGGTCAGAGTGTAGCTTAGGACAGTATCTGCCTAGGACACAGAAGGCCCTGGGTTCAATTCCTAGCACCAAAAAAAAAAAAAAAAAAATATATATATATATATATATACACACACACACACACACATATATATGTGTATACATATATATGTATATATATATATATATACACACATACTAATTTTTCTTTCTTTAAAAAATTTTTTTAGTTGCAGTTGGACACAGTGGCTTTAGTTTATATATTATTTATTAATTATTATTATTATTACTACTAGTTAATTAATTAATTTATTTGTTCATGTGGTGCTGAGGATCAAATCCAGGGCCTTGCATGTGCTAGGTGAGGAAGCTACCTCTGAGCCACAATTCCAGCCCCTGTTTTTTTTTTTTAATAAGAAAATGTACAGAGTGATCATTTTTTAATAAACTTGGAATAATTAATAAATTAATATTTAATAAACTTGGAACACTTGGGGGAGGAGGTACTGAGGATTGAACCCAGGGGCACTTAACCACTGAGCCACATCCCCAGCCCTTTCTATTTTTTGAGACAGGGTCTTGCTAAATTACTGATGCTGACTTTGAACTTGTGATCTTCCTGCCTCAGCCTCCCATGTCACTAGGATTATGGGTGTGCACCACCTCACCCAGCTAAAACCTTTATTCCACATCTGATTTTTTTGAAATTGGTAAACTGTCTACTTACTTAGTGAAGCAGTAAAACACAGTGACTAAAGGCTCTGGAACCAAACTACCTGGCTGTCAGTTCTGGTTTTACCACTTCCTAACCTCATGACCTGGGGCCAGTTTTTGGTTTTCTTGCACCTCGGTTTCCCATCTATAATATAGGAGTGTGTGATAATATCATCTGTTTCATAAGGCTAGAGTGATGATTCTATGAAATGATGTATATAAAAGGCTTACCATAGTGTCTTGCAACAGTAAGTGCTCAATAAATGTTAGCTATTATTATTGCATTTGCATAAAGATTAGAGCTAGTGGGCTGGGGTTGTAACTCAGTGGGACAGCGCTTGCCTAGCATGTGTGAGGCACTGGGTTTGATCCTCAGCACCACATAAAAATAATAAATAAAAATAAAGTCATTGTGTCCATCTACAAGTAAAGAAAAATATTTTTTTAAAAAAAAGATTATAGATAGTGCTCAAACTCCTGAATTTTATATTGGTGGCATTTCCAAAATTTGGTAAAAGATTTCCCCAAAAGGGAAACACGTGACTTAACCCAGAATAGATGAGGGTCAACCTTAAATGAGAAGAATATTAAACAAGGAGTCAGATGTCCCAGACTCCGGTGGTCGCTTGACCACTCAGCTTTGAGACATTGATGAAGTCATTTATACTCTCCAATTCTTACTCTTCTTATCTGTAAAATGGGGAAAATACCCATCTTTTCTACCTCCCAGAGGATCAAAACAGCTAATAGTTATGAAAGCACTTTCCAAAATCACTGCAAAAATAAGTTATAATCAATAGAACCAAAATAAATGTGTAAGGCACTGGGTTTGATCTGTGGTTAGTGAGAATTTTCTACAACCTTAACAATCCTGGGTGAATGATAAGTCTTCAAACCTGCAAAAGCTGAAATCAAACCAAGTAGGGAAAGATGTCTCTTGAGCAATTTCTAAGGACACCAGGCTGATCCTTTCCATGAAACTCAGTTTGTGACACAGTTACATAGTCTCTTTCCATATCATCTCATAAATGCAACAGTTGTTTCAATTACAAATTATTCATAGGAGGAAGGGAAGAAACACTTGTTGAGCATTTCTAATGCATTAGTCTTTACAATAAAATTTCTCTCATACATTATCTCATTTCATTCTCACAACAATCTTATACCACATAATTATTATTACCCTCATTTATAGATGAGGAAATGGAAGTTCAAAGGAATTAAGTAATTTGCCCAGGGTCATCAACTATTAAATTACTAGACTGAATTTGAACAGAGGTCTATTACATTCTGAAGTCCTGATCATGCCTTTAGCTGAGGGCCATATGTGAAGTAACTTAGCATAACACTCATACTGAAGTTTATCAAATAATGTGAATGTGGCAAACTAATTTATTTTTTATAGGCATATGAAATTCGATTATGAGAGACTTTAAAAATTAAACTTTGAGCAGCAAATTAAGGTATGGTTTAATCACTCAGCTATGCAAACAAGTTCTAAGTAAACAAACTTGCAAAGTTTCCAAACTCCAATGGTAAGTCTAATTTTCTATGCACTAAAAAACAAAATTAAACATTCTACAACTAAGTCGTTAGGCAGATAAGGTTTGAATATTAAAATTAATTCCACCATGGCCCTAAACCTGCCCTACTTAGCCAACGCATTAGAAACCTGTTGGGGGTTTGAGGAGGGTGCATCAGACTCCAATCACAGTGCAGCTTGGAATGGTCCCTCTGGTGGGCTGAGTGAGGGAGATAACCAGAGGCCATCACTACCCACCTGGAGCTACAGTTTCCAAAGCACTTTCTCCTTTATTTAATCCTCATAACCTCTCATGACCCAATAGAAGAGAACTCGGGTTATTGATGTCTGTACTGGGTACACTGGCTAGAAATTCCCCTGTCACTCAAGGCTAACCCACACCATTCTGAGACTGACAGAAGCCAAACTTCGCGTTGGACATTTTGTCCCTTAGCCTTCAGGCGTCATGAGAAGTGTTTTGGGGAAGTTCTCCTTCATCTGAGGGATCTGGGCCATCTCCCAATAGAAAGAAAAACAGGGGTGCGGCCCCAAACCAAGAACACCCTTAGTAGTAGATGGGGGGTCCTTCCTGGGCTGGGCCAGGCCTCCGCATGCACCGGGCTCAGGTTGTCATTTATGAAGCCCAAACTAGCCCTGGAGCACAGATCCTCTCCTGAGATTGGGTCAGGTCTCCCCTGTCCCCGGGGGCACGGGTCACCTTCCTGGGTCTCCCTCCCCTAGACCTCAAGATTCAGCCCAAGGCTGGGGCGCGGTCCCCGCCCTCCCCGCCCTCGCCCGCCCGCTCGCGGCCCGGGTTAGCTCTCTCTGCCTTATGCAGAAGGGCAGGGGTCCCCTTCCCCGAGGCCTGGAGGCCCGAACCCGGGTACGCACGGGCCGGTGAGGGCGACAGGGCAGAGACAGTCCCGCCCGCCCACCTGTCCGCCAGTCCCGGGCCCCGGGTCCGGCCCCGGCCCGAGCGCGCTCCTCACCGGGTCCCAGCGCCTCC